AACTCTTTCAAGTGCTTATCTCGCGTTTCACATAGCACCCGTTTATTATTTCATTTTACATAAGTAACAATAATAATTTTAAACTTTTTTTAAATTTTTTATTTCTCTTCTTAAGATTTCATTTCGATTATTATTATTATTATTTTAGTTATTGTTTTTTTTTTTTTTCTTGAAATTTTTTTGTTTTCCATTTCATTCGTTATAAAAATTAATTTAATGCGCTTTTTTTTTGTTTTTGTTTTTTTTTTTTTTTTTTTTTTTGTATATAGCTTTTAAGACATTATCCGTTCGTTTACTCACTTGCCACTAAACTTAACAAAACACTTTCACTCTTTAGCCAGCAGCCCACAACTTGTTATTGTAACAATATAATCCGTTTATTGAGAGATTTGGTCACATGCGCTCTCTAAGGAGAAGCGTCATATTGAGATTCAACCTATATATGGATTTTTTTATTATTCTAATTAAAGCTGCATTCAGTGCATGTTACTGGGTCATAAGAAAGTTAATGGATTGACAACAGCTGGAGGATGAAAGAGAAACTTAAATGAGCAACAAGTCGCTGGTTGTTGTCCACAATACAACAGTGAATGTTTATATCAAAAGCTTTCTCTGTGCTCTGAGGCTTTCAAATTTCGAATTTATTTATGCTTTTCGACATTTTATACACAAGCTTTTCTTCCGTGTCCTTGCTATACTAAATAATTTCATAAATCTTAAGGAAAGCATTAACAAACAGATAGTATTCGAATTTGAAAAGTTAGTATGATGAGAACTTTCGCCCGCAATAACAAAACTTTCGTTGGTCTTAGAAATTTCCTCGCATAACATTTCTTTTAAAGAAACTTTTCTTCCAAAAAACTTTCAAAGCTCGGAAATGGTACGGAAACTTCAAGCAAATAATACCTTAAGAATATGAAAAATCGAGTCTTGCTTGCTTTGCCGGCAAGTCTGTCTGTCCGACTATCCGTCTGATGCTTGCCCATGGAAAGTTTGTGTTCAATCTACAGATCGCAATTTTCGAAATATTTTGATGAATTTACGTACACTGACTTGCTTTGACCCAAGCACGCACACCGATGAAAATTTTTGAATTTGGTCCACTTTTTTAAACAAACCCCATATAACGCCTTATTTTTTTGACTGTATAGGTCTGTTTTTTAGACACCACCACATCATATCGTGCCATGTTGCCATGAAAAGGAAGTCGTTATATGGAAAGGAATTTTCTACTTTTTAATGACGAAATATAAAATTTGTAGAAAGTAAATCAAATTTTCTAAATTAGAGTCACGTCATGCAATGTTTCGGTCATCCCTCAATATGTAGACTTTCATCGAAGGTCTGCTCTTGCGTAAAAGTAATGTTCAATTTTTGTATGTGTACTATTACTAATACGAGTGAATAACTGTACTAGGTGAAGTGGTGTAGGGTTTCTAATGGCCGGCCTTGCCCGAATATATTCTCCTTACTTGCTTTTATTTAAAAAAAAAAAAAAACAAATAATTTTTTATAATATCAAACGATATCGAGTCAAATCTGTCTGTCCCTCCATCTCTCTGATATCTGTCAATGTATTATTTTAATGGCTGCGGATATTTTGATTACGCCCAGTGCACATGAATATATTTTGTGCTGAGGGTTACACTTATTAGAAAGATATCTGCTCGACCTATGATTTTTATGATTATTTCTCAGATAACGGCCTGCTTATGAAAATTCTTTTATATAAGAAAATACATTTTTGACACAACGCCGTAAAGAATGGATGGAATAGTTTCGTTTTTTGATATCCTTTCTATGCATGTGTTTGGGCAAAACACAAGGATTCATCTGATGCATACTGGCCCAGAATGTCATATGCCAAACATGAACATACTGTCTTAAATTTTGATCGAATTGATTTATTTCTCGAACATCTTTCCATATAAAGGGCGACATCAAGGAATAATTTTTTTATCGTAACGATGTATACTGTAGTATTTAATAGTCGACTATGCCAGAATGGAATATTTCAAGCAGCTTTTATAAAAAAATTTATGAGCCATTACTTTCCATTCAATAAAATTCTTTTAATTAATCGAAAATAAAATAATTATAAAAATTCTGCTTGCGCAGCGATTAGAAGCTGCAGAATCAGTGGATAAGTGCAACGCTTGCTTATTTGTTTTTTCTTTTTCCAATAAATTAAGAATAAATTCAATATAAATCAATAAAATTTATGTTATATGAATATTTAATAAGCGAGGATGTGATGGAACATTTTAACTTTCGCAAAGACATGGCGATAATGATGATAGCACTTTGCTTTCATTATATTTTCATCCATATTTCGCTTTCAGATAAGTTATACGTGTCAATTAGATGGACTTAATCGAATTGTGTCGTTCATACGAAGAAATTGCAGAATAGTGCCAGCATCGAATCGTTCATTTTGGCCGATCAATCAATAGCAGAAACATTATACCACAAGTTTGCCAAGGTTAGTAAGTAACAAGATTGCTTTCTTACTCTTCGGCTGTATGAACTTAAACGTGGCCGTACGTTCCTTGAAAATGACTGATTGGGAAGATTCGAAAAAATGAAGAAGGAAAAGTAGAGCGATGCCACAATCTGTAATTAGGTTATGGATACCGGTGACAATTGTGGCCATTTGTCTGTGTAAACATCGTAGTACTACTTATAAGAAGCATTCAGTAAGAAAAAAAGTTGAAAGCAACATAATGGAATTTTGAATTACTACAAGGAAAGCAAGGGAGAAAAAGAAATTTTAGAAAAGGATTCGATTGGTTTAAGAGCGTTACCTCTACTCGAGGCGGGCAGCAAGCGGTGAAAACTCTTCAAAGGGGGCGAAAAGCGTAAAAGTGGGCTACGAAGACTATGTGTCCCTATTTTAGGATGCGCATGGTACTAAAAGTGACAAAGGATCAATGGTGAACTTTACATAGCATTCTTACTGCGATTGAATGACAAAGTTGCCAACAAAAAAATGCCTCTAATTCTACGACCTTATTGAGTGATCGATCTAATTAATAAGTAAAGAAAATCAACAATATCGAACATTTTTAACTTTTAAAAAAAAGTTAAATTAAGCGAAATCAACGAGACCTCTTTTAAGTGAAATTAACAAAAACTGCAAGGACTTGATTTATTCAAATTCACACTAAATGCAGCTTAAGAAACAAAATAGTTTTAGTTAGCTCGTCACAAACCTAGGAACAGTGGCGTCAACAGCAGCAAAAACATTTTCATAAGCGAAACGATAAAACAGTGGAGGAAAAGTTTGTAAATGAAAACCAGTTGACTGCCACACAACATTGCAACTGTAACGATAACTTTCATGGTAAATTAAATCAACATAAAATTTCGCAAGTTAAACTTAGGGAAACAAAACTCACTTTTTGCTATGGAAAAGGAGAGAGTGAGTAGTAAAACAATGGAAAAAGAAAAAAAACTTTCTTCTCGTAACTTGAAGGTAATAGGCAGATATAGAAATCTAAAGGAATGCAATTGAAAGTCGTAACATATAAATCACTTGTTAAACTCACCTGAGTTTTAATGGCTGCCAAGTGCAGTTGTTTGGTGTGTAAATCGAATTTCTTCATAGACAGATCCTCTTGCATCTCATTAACTTTATTATACAGTTGGCCTTCAATGCCACGTATTTGTGTACGATTTAACGTATCAACGGCGTCCTGTATTGTAGCGTCAAAGAGAGATAAAAATAATATTAAAAGCATAAATAACAACAAAAGCAATAACAACAACAATGAAGTAAACAAATCTATCTTATCTGTAAACACACAAATATACGTAAGCATATATATATATATGTATATGTATATATAAATAAATCAAAGGTTACCTGCAGTTGCCGTATTTGCATTTCCAAATCAATAGCTTCACGTTTCAGTGATTCCAATGCGGAACGCAATGACAAGCTTGAATGTCTATCGAATACCAATTCATTACGTAAAATTGGCGCTATTTCCTATATTTTGATTACAAACACAAACAGTAGATGATAAAATGTTTTTTTTTTTTTTTTTTTTTTTTGCTATAAGCGCAACGAGAGCGAAATTGGTCTTACCTCACCCGTATCATCGGCTTCACCGGGTGGTTGCGGGGGGGGCAAAGGCTCGTTTTGGTACTTTTTGTGCTTGCGATGGTAACGCTAGAATATGCACAAAATTTTGCAAATCCTGCGTGGGTGAGATGGAAGTACATTGCGCTGTTAAGTTGTTATAACGTTTAGACTGATCTGAAGCCTAAAGCAAAAAAAATAAACAAGACAGAGAAAAATTAAATGAACTTTCATTTCATGTAAACTTCTCTTACTACCTTCCCCCCCATCCCCCCTAAACAAATAATAGAATGATGGGAAAGGAACCGTTGATAGCACCATTTAAAACATCATAGTTGGGCAAAACCGATCATTGAATACCTTCCTGCACTTTATCTAACACAATTCTTTGCATATTTTCATCACAAAATATTGGAAAACTGAATGCCTTGTAAAATCTAATTTTCCTGAGTATTATTATAATGAAGATATTTGGAGTAATAGAGCTCAAGGTCGTTCAAACTTAGCACAACAAGTTTTTCAGTCTTATTGCTATTCTAGACCAACTTTCATCGTTGAATATTAAAACGTTTGCGTTGGTGCCATATAAACACTTGTTTTTATGCTTTTCTAGGAGAACGTTTAAGGACTCATCTGCAATGCTGTCCGCATTATCTACACCCGTTTGATATCATTTTTAACTGATTTTTGTCGAGAAATGCGAAATGTTTTTTTTATAATTAATTTATCAAAACAACTGCTTTCTCTACTCTATTGAGAGTGATTGTAAAAATGATTTAATTTCTTGTAGTTCCAAAAACTTGCGAACTTAGCTCTAAAATATATCAAAGTACCAAAGATCGTGAAAGTATCTCGAAAGTTGTAAAGTGTAGGCGAACTATGAACGTAACTAAACACTTATAAAACGAAAAGAGAGCTGGACATCACTGCATATGACGCCACAAACTTAAATGTTACGATAAGTGATATAAAATATAATGAACAGATTGTAATGCTCCCTGGTGCCGTAAATCCATGTGTAGTAATTGCTTTGGTTTGTAATAACAACTTCAAGTCAATGTTGAGGAAAATATCTTGAAAATTGTAATATCTTGGTTAACCACAAAAACATCTGAATCAACATAACGGATGGACAGACGGGCAGATTTGCTTAATTAATGCATAATTAAAGGATGACTCTATCTTACATCACCTCATGTATTGCATACGTGCGCAAAAACCTAATCTTACAATAAATGATGTAGGGTATAAGTATCTTTCCTTTCATAAATTCCATGTGCAATAATTCTAATACTAACTTAATCCATCAACCTCTCCATTCATAATTATTCTAACATCTCTTAATAAATATTTCTCTTTTTAGTTTAAATATTGTATAACACATTGCGTATGATTATCGTAAATATAAAAATTAATTACACATATAACGCCGCATGTACTCTCCATCCACAATATAAATAAACATACGCCCCAACAAGAAACACGTAAATTTACCGACCCCTTTCCGCAAATGGTTACTAATAACAAACAGTCACATACACATACACACATACACACACACACCCACCCACACCCATGTTAAGCTGCTTATACTTAAGTGAATGCATGTTTATATACTATGTTCACTGTAAAAAACACACAGAGAGAGCGAGAGAGAGAGAGAGAAAGAGAGCGAATGAATGGTACGAATAGGGATATAAATTAATGTTGTTGTTTTTATTTTTGTTTTGATTTTTAACTTGTTGCTTTTGTATATCTTTTATTTTAATGAAAAATTATTAGAGATACAACAAATAAGAAGAAAAGTAAGTAGAGAGTTAGTAATGATATATTCATTTAAATACAAGTAAGTATATGACCTCGTATGCATGTGCACATAAGCATTTGTTTATTTCTACCACTTTAGATAAAAGAAGATAAAGGATTTCTGAAATGGAAATTTTTCTACAACTCTGAAGGACGAAAGCATACTAATTCAATTATTTTGCTTATAGGACCAAAGTAAAAGTAAAAAAAAAATTTTTAAAAAAAAATTGTTTTTTTTCAATCGTTTGGAACTGCATTTATTTGTCCTGCCTACTTGCCTCTCGTACACGTGTTCCGGTTGTTTTGCTTAAAATAGGAGATATGGAAAAAAAAAAAAACGAAACTGAGTTATAAGTACTCTTGTTTCGTTTAAATAAAGGAAATTGAAAAAAAATGCACTCGTTGAACACCACAAACAAGCAATTTTTCCACAAGAAAACTATGCAAAGCAAAAAAAAAAAAAAAAACTAATTGAATACAGACTCAAAGACAAATTATGCAAAGAATAAAAGATTTTTCTAAAAAATTCTCAATTACTTGAAAACACATTACAAAAGCCCTTCAGGCAAATGTTCATACACACTCGGTATAGATTTTCTCAATTTTAAAGCGTATTAAGTCAAGAAGAGCAGGCGGCAGTTTTTTTTTTTTTTTTTTTTTTTACGCTTGAAAAAAATTTCTCGAATATTAATACAAGACAGCAAATTTATGGTTTATGCAAGGTAAGAAGCTCAACTGAATCGCTAGGACGATTTTGGTAGTCATGGCAGAAAATGGGTGAAACGCAAACAGAGATATTATAAAAATAGATTGAAAAACTGCTAAATAAAACTTTTGTTTTATAACCACCACAGAACTGGGAATGGTATACTCCTTTTGTCATAACGTTTGCAACACCCAAATACAAGTTTCAGAGATCCTAAAAAGTTCATATATTCTTAATCAGCATGAAATTCTGAATTGATTAAGCCATGTCTGCCCGTCTGTATGTTTTTGTGGTGCATATTGTTGACACTCTCCTCGGTAGACACCTTGGGAGTTTTTGCACGCAGGCTTGTATAGGAAAATAGGCCAAACTGTTTAGATTCCATGCCGGCAACAAAGCGCAAAGTGTACGCAACACCGTTTCTTTAAGCAAAAACTTATGGATTTGTGCTCATTACTCACAAATTAGAAAAGATTCAAGACTAAAATTTTTCACATCTACACTCTACTCCACACATGCAAAAATACCTAACCAAGAGGTAAAAGTAATGCTTAGTAATTATAAGGCAAACGAGACAGAATGTTTAGAATTACTTTGTACATTTCTTAAATGAATATAAACTATCTGCCTAAAAATGTGTAAATTCTAAGATAAATACGGAGGACACCACGACCTGAAGCGATAATTTTTTCTTAATAATACCAGCGATGTGGGTATCAAATAAAATAAGGGTTTGGCGAATGGAAGGTGACAAGGTAAGTGGGTTAGATCTAAATTAGTTATGATGACGATCACAACGTAGTTAATTCGTTTTTTCGCTACAATGCCGTTGATATAGTAGGCATCGCATGAAAAGACTTGGAGAGTAGAAAGCGACAAGGTAAGTGGATGAATTCTAAATTAACTACGGTGGACATACGATATGATAAATTTTCTTACCAATGCCATTTAGTGAAGTAAAAAATGAAAGATAAATGTTATCCCATTTACTTTTTTATGACAATAAATAAACGCATGGGTCACCAAGGATTTTAGTCAAGATGAGTATGTGAGATTCGGCCCTGCCGAATATAATTTTCTTATTTGTTTTTCTATAATTTTAAGAAAAATTTTATGGAAAACCTTCGTCAGAATATTTAAGCGCTATAAAGTTCTTTTCTTTCTTTTTTACCATAAGGCGCCCATCTGTTGTTACTGCGGGATGCATATAAAGAGAAAAATGTAATGTTACTTAAACTTTACCGCCCTACATATACGCCATTTATCATGAATGCTTTATTATGTTAAAAGTAAATGCAAAATAAATCTTTTGCTTACTTCTCATAGTTCATATACTTTTCATTTACATTATACTCGTATATGAAATTAATTCTTAATAAACTCAACTATTCATTTGTTGATGTCATTTTGTACATCCACCACTAAAGGATGGGGATGTATTTAATTTGTCGTAAGGTTTGCAACAACCGGAAGGAAGCTTCATTCACTCCGATCAGCATTCAATTTTGAATCGATACGAACTTGTACATCTTTCTGTTCGTTTGTCCGTCTATCTAACTATGTAAATTTCTTGCTGACACTTTCCTGATCGTAGATATGGACTTCATATCTAAAGGAAGGATTGGAAGTTTTGTAAAAGTAATGAAGTACAATAAAATTGGTATTACTATGATAAAATAAATCGTAATTGGTATCCAAGATCCGAACTGAATATAATTTTCTTATCTCTTATATGCACCTACCATGGCTAATAATATATTGGATATATTGCAAATGTTAATAACACAAAAATGTTTGTAAATGAAAGTCACTTTAGGCTTAAGTTAGTCTATTCACTTGACGTTGTGATTCAAAAACTCTTTCTATAAAATGATATTTTGTCATAAAGGTTTTCCCCTTAGCAGCATAGTTACAAAAGCAAGCAAAATCAGCCATGGTTACCCCATGGACCTCATGCGCGATCTTTTTTTTTTAACTTTCTTCTATAGTCTTAAGCTTCCTTTTTCACTAACAGTATCCGAGGATATGCTTTGAAGATCAAATAACTACTAAAATGTCTTAGATCAATAGACTAATGTAACTTGAAAATATTATTCCAATGAAAAAGCTTTCAACTACAAAAAAAACAGGCATAGAATATTTTCGCATAAAGCTGATATAAGTCTGCTAATCTAGTGATTATTATCATGTAGTAAATTAACGATTTCTTCACGCATCTTACGAAAGCATAGCCGATTTGAAATTAAAGCCAAAGTTTTCGAAATTCTTTCAGCGCATTAACAGATCCTTTGATGTTTTTATTTTCTACGAAATACTTTATCAGATCGGTTATTGTCCTTATGAATGTTATTAATATTATCTGATAAAACTTATAAAAAAAACAAACTATTCTGTTATGTCTACAATAAATGGTTTTTTTGTTTTCAATTCAAATGGCATTCTCTCTACACACGGCAGGCACGGCAGTGATCCAGGTAGCATTGTAGGTACAAAAGATTGAAATGAGCGGACCGTGTTTTTGCACATTGCAAGTGAACTCGTATCACTTTCGATTTCACAATCTTCAAAAATTGTAAAATGTTTTCCAATACAAAGACAAGTGAACTTATATTTACTTCCTCTTTATAACCCTTCTTTAAGCTCCTGTGAGGCGGTAAGCTTGTGTGGATGTATGCAACACCCAAAATGAGCTTAAATAGATGCAACTTTTATGATACCGAACGATTCAGAAAATGATTCTCAATCGATCCAAACTGTCTGTCTGTCTGTCCGTCCTGTTTTCTCGTGTTCAATCCATATGCCAAAATTTTTGAGATATTTTGATAAAATTTGTTACACCGACACGTAGGAATGCCATTGACAATTCTTTGGATTGGATCACTATATCGATCACTTCTCATATAACGTCGATATATGGATAAGTGTAGGATAAAGTGCAGTATTTAACGGGGGGACGTGTCGTACTGCACTATTTTTACTTGTTATTTATAGAATTTTTGATATATGCAAAAGTAGACTTACATCAGTTTCTCTTTCAAATCTGCATTGCTATTGCCCACCACCGAAGGAACGAGGTATATTCATTTCATCGAAACGTTTGCAACACATGGAAAGAAGCTTCGAAGATCCCATGAAGGGTAAAAATTTTTCATCATCTTTAAATATTGAATCGATTTCAAAGGGTCCGTACGGCCGCAAAAATAAAACTATTAGCTGCAATTTTCTCAGAAAGAGTGCAAGCTTCTGCACGCACGTTACTATTGAAAATCTACTATATCTGTCAAGAGACAGGCCTATAATGCAATATAAATTAAAAACACCTTTGGGCCTTTTTCTGGCCTTTTACTCACTGCCCATACGTTATAGCAAAGATATGGAAAATGCTCAACGTTTATTCCAACGAAATGGATGATTGTGTGCAAAGTATGTAAGTTAAGTTACTTGTTTTCTATTTCAATCTTTTCTCAATCAACTAAAATAGTAGAGGAAAGGCGTAAGAGATTCGACAAAGCCGAAACTGCTTTTCTTGCCTTTTTTCCTGTACTTCAACTATTTTCTTTGACTTGGAAATGAAATCGAATATTTCAAACCATAATAAATTAGCTTCAGTTTACAGATCCAATGGGGTCACGTATTTCATATTTAAATTCACAATCAATGGATTTTTTTTTTTTTTTTTTGAGATTTATACCTTCAACCAGCAAAATAAAACATAATAATAATAAAAAAAGTAAACGTATTTTGCATTTCTTGCAAATTCAAAGACAAACCTATAAGAATTATTTTTTTATTTATTTTATTCTAATAGATGCTAATTTACAACGGGACTATAAATTACGCTATGTTATCGTTTGCCAAATGGCAATAACAGCAACCGAAGTAATGTTAAATAAATCCTTGAAGCTTACATAACCAAAATAGTGCATAAACACAAATGACACACGAGAAGCTAGTTGTTATACTTTGTTAACAAAAAAACAAAAAACAAAAACCAAAAGAAAGACAAAAAAAGTTTGAAAGCAGAAAAACCTAGAGGGGAAAAGAAAAAATCTCATACCTCTGTTACATTTCCAATTACACAGTACTTGAGCACTGAAGTAGAGGAAACCAATACTTCAATGCGGAATAGGATTAAATAAAGACTAAAGCTTTTTAAATAAAACAAAAGCCATGAAATATTCCATCGTTTGCATATCAGCATAGATCCATACATACATACATGTGAACTACCTTACACAACTACTGAGAAGATATGGCAATACTTGGATGAGCGAGAGGGCATGACAGTACATCAACGTGCCTGGTGTTCGGCTGAACATGCATTATTCAAGTGGCCAAAATTCACAGCTGCGAAGGACGCGTTAAGCCAGGTCATAAGAGAAAGAGTGACATGGGACAAACTGCTGAGATGAATGCTACGTCATTCAGAAATATGAACTCTAGCACAAGGCATAAATAGAGTAATAGTGAGTGAATTGAGAAAAGAGGAACATTTACGAAGGCGTATGTAATACTTAACGGTATTTCCGAGACGACTACCGTCAGGCATTACTACGGTGAAAGTCGCATATTGACTTTAAGCGGCTAATGCTTTTCGTTACTTAAAAAAAGAACACATTTACGCACACACACACACACGCACACACACACACACACGCACAAACGCTTACAAATGTACATATATACGTATATACATATGTACATAGACGCGCATACATAAATAAGAAAATATATTCTTATATTCGTGTGTATGTATCTCTTATCAGTGATTACCTTGTTGGCTATACAATCCGCACCGTTTAATATTGAATCGGCTATAATACTGTATAAATCATTATGGATCTCTTCAAGTTCTTGCATCAGTTGCGGCACCGTCTCGCAATGGTATGTCTCAAGCATGGCATTTGTGGCATGCAATTGTTGCACGTACGCATTATGGGCATCAATATATTCTGTCAGTGTATGCTGTGTGGGATTCTGACGATGTGACATATAAAATTGCTTGTAGTCCAGACGACACTGCAACAGATAAAAGAAGAAAACAATATTGAAAAGAAAGTATTTTTAACATTTTATATGAAGACGAATGCTTTTAAATAAACTTGAGAGATATATTTACAAAAAAAAAAAAAAAAAGAAGCAAAAATGAAAAATTATTTGTAAAACAAAAAAAAAAAGAAAAACCCGACTTTATAAACCATACAAAAGAATGCTAAAGAAAATTCCGTATGTCACTGTATAAATAACAACAACAATCATTTAAAACAATTTAATTAATGCAGTACAAAAAAATACTTTTCTTCGATAAAACTTTTTTTTCTTTTCTTTCCTTCTCTTGATTATAAGCTTACGCTCTCTCTCCCACTCTCCCACTCACGCTCAGCGTCTTTCTAGCCCTCTTGGTCTGTTCTTGCGTTTCTCCTTCTATACGTGGGATTTTCTCCTGAGTCATTGTGATTCCTTATGAATCACATACGATTAAACTTCTTAGAAGAGAAGCACAAACTCGATATATGTATGTGTTCGTTGCACTCGCAACGAAACTTATATGTTCGTGACTCTGGCACTTAATTTTATAAATTTTTGTTGTTTGTTGTTTTTTTTTTTTTTTTTTCGTTTTTTCCAGTTCAGTCAGTTTACGAATATATTTCATTGTTTTTTTTTTTTATTTTTTTTTTTTTTTTTTTTTATTTTTATTAATTTTGATAGCTTTTCTTCAGTCTTTGCGATAATAGTCTCAAAGGATTCCCTGTGTGTAAATATTTTGCGACTTTGAACTTTACGATGAAACGATTTATCGAGCATTGGTCGTGACACCTATAAAATAACAAAAAAACAAAAAAAAATAAATAAATAAAGTAAAATAATGCTCAAAATATTATCACGCAATCGTCTGAAGAAGAAATATTAAAATAAAGTGAAGAAGATGTGTGAGCTTTTTAATAACATTTGCTTGATGATTCAGCTTTAAATTCACTAATTGTTTTAGTTTATACACCTGGTATGCACAATTAATTTCTTTGAAATTTCATTAAAATAATTATCAAATTTTTATACCGTAAATAAATTGTGGTACAGGGTCCAATAAGTTTGTGTGGATGTATGGAATACAAAGAAGAAATAGAGATGGACCCATCTTTTAGTGTGCTCAAGTTTTTGAAAGCGATTCTGAATTGATCTAACCGTCTCTAGCTGTCTGTCCATAATGTCTTCAGTATTTAATAAAATTAATTTTGAAATAATTTTTTGAACAAAAATTTATTCACAAAATTTTACTTTAAGTATAATTAAAATTCTATTTAAACATCAATTATATCTTTTGTCTCAACTAAAATGCATTTATTCAAAATAATATATTGTTTGGCCTTGACCTAGGAAACTCTCGTCCGAAACTTTTGCAGGAGTATTAACACATTACGACAGATATTGATACGATTCATATTTTATGCGATTTCGCTTTAGTTAACATCTTACCTGGGCATGTCCCATTTTATTTCATTTATGCGTACTGTAAAGGAGTCTTTTTTAAGGTATATAAAATTCCTCTCGCTTTGTCATTGTGCTTATAATTCAATCAACACTTTTGTAGCAAATTTTTTCAATTTTTCCTCTTTGCTTATTTAGGATCACTAAGCAGAATACTTTTACTATTCTCTGTCAATCGTATGAGAAATAAGGCCATACTTCAATTATTCATCATTCAGTTTACACTCTTTCATACATTGAAATCAATAAAACTGTCTGTCGTTAGTGATAAACTAAGTATTTTATTCTGCGCAGCTCATTTGCTGACGCCCATCTCCGCGGATTCAAATAATATCTTTAGGAGGTCACTTGGCTCACCTTTCATCGGCAATATTTTTTTGAGCTTTGTTTTTTATGAGCTTAGCTGCTTGGGACAAGAGAGTGCAAAATGACTTTGGTTGGACAAAGCATGTATTCGAAGTACCGAAAAAAGTAATGAAGACATAAAGCTTTAGAAAAAAAAATGTTCTCGTCCTAATCGATGCTCGCAGTATTTACCCGACCAAAATTAAAGTACAATTCTCATGTATGAATGAGAACTGTAAAGTACTGCCTGAAGGGTCTTGAGGATATGCTGCCAAAGGCTGATGAATTATATCTTCCTACGCAGCTACGTAATAATATCTGTACTATGCTTATGTGTAAGTTTACTAACACAATCTCTAAGGCTCAGGGAACGAAAATATATGATAACAAACATCTTACGAGAGCTAAGTAACGTCGTTATCATTGTTCAAAAATACCCTAAAGTCGTTTCCGAGGAAATAAAACGTGAAGTAAGGAAACTTCCGAATACGGCTTCAAACTGCGATCGAAACACCATAAAAATAAAAAATAACTAAGAATAATCCGCTTAACGCCTCACATCAAGTTGATTTTTATGGGGGAAATTCAATGACCTAAGTTCGTTTGACGTCGAGCTCAACCAGCTCGCTTATATGAATGGCGAAATTATGGCATAGCACTTGACTGATTGAGGATGGGTCAATACTAAGTCATTTGCAATCTTAGGTGACGATGTTGAATAGGCCTATCAAGTTCTAGGCCCTACACGTTGTATGTTACAAGATCATCTTGAACGTGCTTGATAGCACTTATGTCCTACTTTGAGTTTGAGCTTAGAATTCAATATAATTTCGTATCGTAATGCTAAACTTTAACAGAATCCACCCAGAATAACAATCTTGTGAAGAAAATATATAACATCTCTTGGATACATCTACGGATGTTGCAAATCGAAAGGCGTCTTTAGTAACACTACACCATTTGTCCTTTCTCTTGCTTTTTGAGGGCAAACATCAAAATCAAATTTGTTCTTTCTTTCAGGCGACATTTATGCGATATGTGTAATGTTCACGATGAGGTAGGCAAAGAGAGAAATATATGAAGAGTACGAACGCAGGCTATGTTCACTTTTACCGCAACACATACTTGCAAATATGATTAAATCGATGAAGTGTTTTAGGCCAATCAAGGAGACAAAACATATGTACTTTACAACAGTTCTATTGGGTGTTGCAAATGAAATGGCAACTATAGTGCATCCTTATCATCACCGTAGTTTCGGTGAGGATAAAAATCAATTTTGTTTTATACCAAAGAATCGAGATTATTTTCTTGCCTTAATCTGCCAGCTTACGTAGATTATAATGCTTGTAATGCCAACGCAGCCGCTATTATAAGAATATTACCTTTTACCTGCATAATAAAGTTCAGCTACGGGCCAATATACATATAAGTTGGTTTTTTTTTTTTGTCTATTAAATTTTGGGAATTTTGCAAAGCGCAAAGAGGTTTGAAGCTAAAATTAAATACATGTACTATTACGAGCAAAATCGAAATGTGCTCTTCTTTGACTTGGACTGCTTTGAAGTTTACATGGCACACATGGTACGTAACAAATGTTATACGCAATGTGCAAATTACTTTCCCGTTTTATTTGCTTTCATGCAAAACTCCATTTACTTTGCACATAAGATTTTGGCCCACAACAATAGTCAAGAAACTGGCTCGTATGTGTCTCCATTGGAAACCTAAAGTTTGAAAACAAATTTCACTTTTTTAATTGATAGAAGAATCATAGAAGAAAAAAGTTGCTTGCACATATTGTCTTGCAGTCTTCTAAATGCCCCGTGCATGTCTTCGATACGATTATATTTATTTACTCAAATTTTAATAAGTGCTGGTATTTATTTTGTCCAACGGTACAGGCATTGGTAAAAATGACAAAATTAATGCAAGTTCGAAGACTTTTGACCTTTCTTTACAAAAGATAACAGTTTTCCACTTAGTAGAAATAAGTAATCCACTACGACAATCGCAAGCGCGAAAAGTCATGGGTTCATCCAGAAGAGCCACTCACATCGACAACGAAGCGGAATGTTGGTAGCTACATAGTTCTATTATACATATATATTATACATATATAATCAGGAAGACGTGGAGTACTACTAGCCGCGAAAACCAAACGAAACTGTTGCTACCGATGTCATGTAAACAAATTAAACGATTTATTGTCGCAATAGAGGTTAACGCAAGACATCCTCTTGCTTGACAACTCTTGCTCGCACGTTGCAAGAGTTGTCAAGAATACACTATTGCAGCTCACATGCGACTTAGCGTCTGCTGATTACCATTTATTCAGGTCGATGCAGCATGGCTCGACTGGCACGCATTTTCGAAATGCTGAAGAAATGCAAAAATGGGTCGATGATAGGATAGCTGCCAAACAAATATACTTTTCGAACACGGCACGACCATACAATCAGAAAGATGAGAAACAGTTGTAAAAAATCATGGAAAATATTTTGGCTAATATATACTGTATCAACTTTTCTCAATAAATACGTTTTTCAATGTGACAAAAACTGGCCAAAATACATGCAAGCACCTAACACTAAATTCTAGAATAAGCGGACGAAGAGATTCATTCGATTTTCACTTTTACGTTCTTCCACAAATGCAAGCGATATTTTTCGTCTTTTCTTTTGTGTATCCTAAATTTCTACTCATGGTTGTTGACGCAGTCCATCTTTCAGATTTACCATCATATATATAAAATTCATTTCAGAATTTGTATTAAATTTTTTCAAAATTTTAGCAAAGTATTTATATTTTTAAAAAAATTTTCTTAAATTTTTTATATAAATTTTATTTCAATTTAATACAGTCAAACCTGTTTTTGTGCGGTAGATAAGGACCGCAGAAAAAATACCGCACAAAAAAAAATATTCAAAAACTTCATAAATAGCTATAAGAAATAATTTTTCACAGCATATTAAAGAAAATTTTTTTTATGCGGTAGAGAGGGACCGCGTAAAAAAAGTCTCACTTAGAAAATATGTCAAAGCATCACGAAATAGCAAGAAAGTGCTTTCTAAACAAAATAAATAATTAAATTACACATTGAAACATTTAAAAAAATTTTAATTTCTAATTTTAAACAAAGAGAAATGTACACAATTCAATACTACTCGTCGTAGTTCAAAACGCGCATATTTTTGCGATGAACTGGTTCGTAATCGCTTTCGTCACTTGAAGATACTACAGTTGATTTATTTTTTGTTAACATGTAGTCGGTGATAAGTTTTTGCGACGACGGTCGTTTGGTCAGCTGTTTGTAAACGTCGCGATAGCCAGATATACACAATCGAAGCTCTTTTTGGAATTTCAAACTTCTTTGAGAATTGTTATCTATTTTAAGAAAATGCTTTTCCAATTTGCTGCAAAGCTGGATCCCTGCATATATTTTATCCGCTATAATAGATTCCGGTTCTTCTTGTCCGTCTTCATGATCTGTTAAGTTATTGATAATGTCACTATCATTTACGGTTTCGTCCTCAATCATTTCAATAAGATCATTTAATATTGCCATTTTAGTTTCTAATGTAATTGTCTTTCTTTTCACTTTTTTTTGATTACGATTATTCATTTTAAGGGAGTACTTATGACTAAAAATAAAATAAAAATCATAAAAAACTATATCTAAATAGGGAAAACAATTAATTTACCCTTAATCTCACTATAAAATTAATCCTGTCTTAATGGTTAAAAGGTCAGCAATTAACTAAAGTTATTAGATGGCGCAGGATGTATTGAAATTGACTGATGCAATAGGTATGATAATGGCTGTTGCAATGTGTACATACACACTGATAGCAAAAAAAGTGATGCCAACACAGTTCAGATTGACCTAACCTCTCGGCGAAATTCAATGTGTCCATATTCATATACCGCACAAAAAAAAGAATCGCACAAAAAAAAGCGCATAAAAAAAAACCGCACAAAAACAGGTTTGACTATATATGTTTATTTTCGTTACATATGAATAATAAATGAAATCTTTAGTAAAACAAATATTTTCATAAATTAGTTGAATT